ATAATATACATTTGTGTTTCAAATAGGCTACACAAAATGGCGCTGCTTTCCTGAAATGAGGACCACTCTGGAATATTAAAAGAAGCATACATGATATAAAATAATAAACAATTTACCGTGATTATAGCATGAAACAATATATGTCGTTCTATGCTGACTATAATGTTATATTTGCAAAAAATGAGCATTGCTGTTTTGAGGCGTTTAATCCGAGCGCTGGTAGGCAGGAACTCGTTGCGAGGCAACGTCTGAAACTTTCACTATTGCTTGCAGAGATTCAACATCCGCCCGGCTGCTTACAGGTTGCCATGGTGACTCGTGCACAGAGTGTGTGCGGCCATTTTCTTGTGGCTCACAAAGGAGACCAAAAACAGTAACAAAACAGGACAAGAACACAAATTCTTTGTTTTCCACCCACTGCCGATTTGTCCTAGGTAGCCCAGTGAGGTGGAGGTAATAATGTCCTATTATGAGAGAAGGAAGAGAGAAAGGGGTCCCAGCACTCTGTGGACTGGATGGGGGGATCATGTGACCTCACAACATCTCGTGTTGCTGTAAGTCATCATAGAGAGTCTATGTTGGGCTCTGCAGGGTCACCCTCAGGTGGGCTGGGTTATTAGGTGGGCATAACTAGCAATCACGGGGCCCCATACAAAATTTTGCTATGGGGCCCTGCGATTTCTAGTTACGCCCCTGCCCGTGAGGCAGGTATAGCAGGTTCCTATTATGCTTTGGCCGCCTTAGCACTTAACCCCTTTGTGACTGACGACGTACAGTGTATGTTGCCAGCATCGCGGCTTTACATAGAAGGGATTCTGGCGACTCAGCTGTCGCCAGATCGCTTCTAGAGCCCTGTGAAGGCCCCCCTGCCCGACACCACCCCTCTGTACTTCCCGGGCTCCGTTGCCCCTCCTACTGGCCTGGGACCGGCTTCTCTGGTGTCGGCGGGGAGTTGTAGAGGAGAGCAGTGAACCTCCATTCGCCGATCCCCTCCCCGTTCCCTGGGACCGGGAGCGATGCAGATTGCATCACTTCCGGTCCCATAGCTGTCATTGGTCGGCTCCTGAAGCCCAGCAATAAGCTATTGATGTGCGATCTGCACTTCAATAGCTTATTTCTCTTTCTTTTGGACCCCCAGCATCACCTTAAAGAGTACCTGTCACCACCATCTGCTATCACATGGGGGGGCTTGTAAGTTCCCCTATGTGATAGCAATCAAAGGTTAAAAAATATATATATAGTTTTTTAAATTTAATAAAATAAATCTAAAAATAATAAAAACATTTTTTTAAACTCCCCCGCCCCCACGCGTCGCCACGTAAACACGTGTCGGGTACGCCTACGTATGAAAACGACAAATGCGCTACACGTGTTGGGTATCACCGCACATGCCGGAGTGAGAGCAATAATTCTAAGGCCTGTATTTTTGGGTATCTTTAAATTGATATACACTAGAAATCACAGGGCCCCATAGCAAAATGTTGTATGGGGCCCTGTAATTTCTAATTACGCCCACCTGATAACCCAAACAGCCCACCGGAGAGTGACCCTGCAGAGCCCGCCATAGACTCTCTATAGTGGGCTCTGCAGGGTCTCAGGTGGGCTGCACACCTCTTACCTGTCAGTGTGGTCCGCCTCCGTGGTCGCCGGGCCCCGCCTGTCGGTGATCTAACAGCGGCGCGTTCCTCTTGACAGCCAGCACCCTGATACGCCATAGCGACCCAGGCGGTCCGCACAATATCAGAGGGATGCCCTGGCCGGGCCCCCCTGTGCCCGGGCCCCATAGCGGCCGCCTGGGTCGCTATGGCGATTGTTACGCCACTGCCACCGCTGGTCTATATGCTGCATATGCAATATGTACTGAAGCCGGGGATGGCCAGGCAAGTAGCATTCAATGTCCAAGGTATGACTGCAGCTTGGAAGTCAAAAACAGCAAAAGTCTGATTTCGGGGATCTTAAAATGTGATATATTTGTACAGAATGATCATTATGGGTAACAGACCTGGAAACATTATAAATGGTCATCAGACACAATAACAGACAATACACTAAAGACGGCTCATCATGTGACAAGTGCAGTCTTTGGATATCAAAGATCACCTGGATTTTGCCTGTTCAGGACAAAGACACGCCCCCTCTTGACAGCTCCTCCTCCCATGTGCTCCCCTAATAGAGACCCACGAAATACCCTCTACGTCCGGGTATGGGGGAGTATCTGATTTTCTCTCCCACCTCAGCTCCTGGCCAGCCAACATCCAACGCTGACCGATGTAATCAGACATAATAAGCTGATCAGAGCTCCACACCAATGGTCCTAGAGCTCCTTAGCTTTTATTCCATCACAGAGATTTAAAGGGTAACTCCACTTTAAACAAATAAAAGCTTAAAAAAATGAATCTAGCATATTACATCATTGATACACGCGCCATTTTATAATGTAATGTTATTCAAAATGACCTCTCCATTTACAACGGTAGCTGCTGTAATGTTCTGAATCTGCCAAACACAAATTCAATGCGATATGGTGGCCTGGAGGCGTTCTGTACACATTTGGTGCACAGAAGCAAGAAATGTCACTTCCTGCTTCTGTGATTGGCTGGTTTTTCCAGAAGTCAGTTCTTAGCATCCATTGCAATGGGAATTTCATTTTTGGAGAGACTCCCATAAGGTTTAATTACTACTAAAGGGATGCCGACACTGCACCTTTCCTCATTAAAGCACAGAAAGTCCACCAGCTGATTATAACGAACCCAGGCACTTCCATTTAGGAATCAGACCCTCCCATTTAAAAATCAGACCCTCCCATTTAGAAATCAGGCCCTCCCATTCAGGAATCGGACCCTCCCATTTAGGGATCAGGCCCTCTCATTCAGACCCTCCCATTTAGGAATCAGACACACCCATTTAGGAATCAGACCCTCCCATTTAGAAATCAGACCCTCCCATTTAGAATTCAGACCCTCCCATTCAGGAATCAAACCCTCCCATTCAGGGATCAGACCCTCTCATTCAGACACTCCCATTTAGGAATCAGACCCTCCTTTTTAGAAATCAGACCCTCCCATTCAGGAATCAGACCCTCCCATTCAGATATCAGACCCTCCCATTCAGATATCAGACCCTCCCATTCAGATATCAGACCCTCCCATTTAGGAATTAGATCCTCTCATTTAGGAATTAGACCCTCCCATTCAGGAATCAGACACTCCCATTTAGGAATTAGAACCTCCCATTCAGAAATCAAACCCTCTCATTCAGGAATCAGACCCTCCCATTCAGGAATCAGACCCTCCCATTCCGGAATCAGACCCTCCCATTTAGGAATCAGACCCTCCTATTTAGAAATTAGACCTTCCCATTCAGGAATCAGACCCTCCCATTCAGGAATCAGGCCCTCTCATTCAGGAATCAGACCCTCCCATTCAGGAATTAGAACCTCCCATTCAGAAATCAGACCCTCCCATCCAGGAATCAGAACCTCCCATTCAGGAATCATACCCTCCCATTCAGGGATCAGAACCTCTCATTCAGGGATCAGACCCTCTCATTCAGACCCTTCCATTTAGAAATTAGACCCTCTCATTTCGGAATGAGACCCTCCCATTTAGGAATCAGACCCTCCCATTTAGGAATCAGACACTCCCATTCAGATATAAGACCCTCTCATTCAGGAATCAGATCCTCCCATTCAGGAATCAGATCCTCCCATTCAGGAATCAGATCCTCCCATTCAGGAATCAGACCCTCCCATTCAGGAATCAGACCCTCCCATTCATATATTAGATCCTCCCATTCAGATATCAGACCCTCTCATTCAGGAATCAGATCCTCCCATTCAGGAATCACACCCTCCCATTCAGGAATCAGACCCTCCCATTCAGGAATCAGACCCTCCCATTCATATATTAGATCCCTCCATTCAGATATCAGACACTCCCATTCAGATATCAGACCCTCCCCCATTCAGGAATCAGACCCTCCCATTCAGGAATCAGACCCTCCCATTCATATATTAGATCCTCCCATTCAGATATAAGACCCTCCCATTCATATATCAGATCCTCCCATTCAGATATGAGACCCTCCCATTCAGATATGAGACCCTCCCATTCAGGAATCAGACCCTCCCATTCATATATTAGATCCTCCCATTCAGATATGAGACCCTCCCATTCAGATATCAGACCCTCCCATTCTGGAATCAGACCCTCCCATTCAGGAATCAGACCCTCCCATTCATATATCAGATCCTCCCATTCAGGAATCAGATCCTCCAATTGAGGTAGTAGACCCTCCCATTCAGGAATCAGACCCTCCCATTCAGATATTAGACCCTCCCATTCAGGTATCAGTTTGGAAAGGACATTCTGCAACAAACAGCTATGCCTTCAGAACAGAAACAGGTAGGAAACTGCAACAAAGGTTGTTAAAATCCTTGCAATGTACATTGATCACCGAGAGGGGAAATACTCTTAAAAAAAACAACGCATTTTGGGCCCTAAAACTATACTTCCTCAGGGCCTACAATGCTATATAAGGTGGAGGAAGGGTTCCATTAGGCTAATGTATACCAAAGTATCTGTTATCGATATTAAAAGCCCTTTATAAAGCTCCTCTAGGTGCCGAAGCTTCTTGCTTTGGATCTCTATGATGGAATAAAGCTTTTGAACTACTGGTCTATGCCGTGGAGTTTATCCAAGAGGCCCCAACATGGCGTCCTGAGCCAGAGAGCAGCCCAATGGGAGCTACTGCACTCCATTGGGTAGACGTCTTCCACAAGACCTCATTGCGCAGGCTTGAGTTATATGTAATCTTCTATCTAGTACCTCCCACTCACACTTCTTCCATCAATGCTCCAACATGGATCATATCCAGCAGTCAAAGAGAACACTGGGACTATGGGGGGAGGGTATGTATTACTGCAGAAAAGGAGGGGACTATCAAGCCAACCTATTCCTTTGTACTGAGTGGACTCAACTGCCACATTCTAAAAGGGGAACCTTTTGTTTCTGGTGGGAACTGAGATGTGACATGAGGGAGGGTTTCTGTGTAAACCTCTTTCCACATTCAGAACATGAATATGGCTTCTCCCCGGTGTGGACTCTTTCGTGCCTAACAAGAGTCGATTTCCGGGTAAAACATCTCCCGCATTCGGAACAGGAATACGGCTGGACCCCAGTGTGGACTCTCTGATGCTGACACAAACTGGACACATCCGTAAAGCCTTTCCCGCACTCCGAACACAAATACGGACGATCGCCGGTGTGGATTCTATGATGCTTGACGAGCGTTGACCTGTCAATAAAGCATTTGCCGCATTCCGTACAGGAATATGGGAGATCACCCGTGTGGATTCTTTGGTGCTGGACCAGCTTTGACTTATCGCCGAAACATTTGCCGCACTCGGAACATGAATAAGGTCTCTCCCCCGTGTGAATCTTTTCATGTACGGTGAGGTTTGACTTGTAGGCAAAACGCTTCCCGCATTCGGTGCAGGAAAATGGTTTCTCCCCCGTGTGAGTCTTCTGGTGCGCGAGGAGATTTCCTTTCTTTTTAAAACATTTCCTGCATTCGGGACACGAATACGGCTTCACCCCCGTGTGACATCTCTGGTGCTTACAAAGGCTCGACCTTTGGGTGAAACGCTTCCCGCACTCTGGACAGGAATGCGGCTTTTCCCCCGTGTGAATCCTCTGGTGTAATATAACATATCCCTTCTGGGTGAAACATCTGCCGCATTCAGAACAAGAAAACGGCTTCTCACCCGTGTGAGTCCTTTCATGGCGGTCAAGATGTGATTTGTAGGGAAAAGACTTTCCGCATTCCGAGCAGGAATACAGTTTGTCCCTCGAGTGAGTCCTCTGGTGCGCAGTAAGAGTCTCTCTTTTGGTAAAACATTTCCCGCACATGGAACATGAATAGGTCTTTTGCGTTGAGCGTTGAGTAAGAGGGAGCGTTTCACCTCCACTATGAGCTGTGATGGCAGGTAAGTGACCAGTGGAACACCCACCACATGATGGGAGGTCTGAACTGTGACCTACTGGATGAATATTTGGGTTTTCTTCTAAAGAATTGGGCATGATGGCATTGTCTTCCGTTTTACCACTGGGCAAGATATTCCGACACTTCTTTGCATTGATCCCGCTGGCTTGTCCATCTGGAGGGAGTAAAATGAGAAGAGGGATACAGATGCTGGAAAAAACAGCAAAAAAAAATGGCCTGATTGAAGTCACACGTTTCTAGTCCTGTATGTTTTCCAAATACATTTTTATTTATTGTAGGGTTGAGGGGACAGTATAGAAATAGCCAACATGTTTTGGGGGCTCATACAAATACTCCCTTCATCAGGGCTCACTGAAGGAGAACATGTATCAGGACTGTGATGGACTTGACATTGGATACTGCTTTGTCCAGTGTGTGAGCTCTTCAGCAGCTAGCTATTTCTAGTCATCAGATCGTCACAAGCTATACCGGAGTTACTCACCTGTGCTGATCTCTATAGGAACATCCTCCTCTTTAATCCTCACATGTCCTTCTTCCTCTTCCTCAGCTTTGAAGTCTCTCTGAGCATCCCCGGGGTCTGTGAATAGAGATGAGAGTGAAGCCCCCTGTACTGAGATATATGACAGACCCCAGAGAGTGTGTGTGGGGGGGAGACTGGTCATGTCTCTTGGCTGGTAACACACAATGACATGATGTGAGGAGGAGAGGCGGAGTCTAATAGAGGCTGATGGCTCCTGACTCCCCCCACTAGACACATTCCGTCCCCCCATTACTGTCTACTGACAGAGGAGGGGGGAGAAGAAGAGATTGCTGTAGTGACTGAACAAGGAGAATCTGGGACTCTTTTCTGGATTTAGTGTTTATTCCTCACCTGTGCTGATCTCTGGAGAGCGTTCCTCCTCCTTACACGGATCATCCTCACTCATAGATGTCTCTTCTTCATCTTCAACTTTAACAACAATCAGATTTTCACCCTGCATGGACAAAATGCAGTATATTTGATCAGCAACTAATTAATGTTGAATGAGCATACCAGTTATAGTTAAGATCCTCAGTTCCATCTACCTGATCATCTTGAGGGATCTCCTGATGTTCCTGTGTGGAATCCCGGGAATACAGAGGACGGGCCTGAGGGAACTCCTGATGTTCCTGTGTGGAATCCTGGGAATACAGAGGACGGGTCTGAGGGATCTCCTGATGTTCCTGTGTGGAGTCCCGGGAATACAGAGGACGGGCCTGAGAGATCTCCTGATGTTCCTGTGTGGAATCCCGGGAATAGAGAGGACGGGTCTGAGGGATCTCCTGATGTTCCTGAGGGGGGCGGCCGGTTCTCCATCATGACGTCCTTCTACAGATCCTGGTCTCCTTCTAAACACTCTTTTGTATACCCGAGTCTGTTCTTGGAATAAAGAGATTGGCTTTTACAACGAATCAATACAATCAGAAGCCCAATTGTAAGGCATATGTTGAAAATCTATATAAAAGGCTCAGTTTCTGTCTTAGAACCACGCAGAGGTTCTCACCTTTCTCCACTCTATGAAGAGCGAAATAAAACATTTTGGGTTGATTTCCACTCTAAACCTAGGAGTGTGGATCAGATTTTGTGCTACCCAGCCTGTCAGCGGTCGGCATGTGAGCAAAGAGTTATGACACCTGGTAACTTCCTGTTGTACAGTAATGTGTTCTTCTTTGCTGCCTCCTAACTACCTTGAGGGACTTTATCCCCTCATCAACAGGTGAATGTCTAGAAGACGCAGGTTTCAGCTTTCTGGAGAATACATCCCCGATGCCATCGGAACCAGCCCTAGCGGAGAGCACCTCCATCCTTCGACAGGCGTATTGCTATAACACCAAGACAGGGGTTACAGCTTTCCACAGAATACGTCACCAGCGCTGTCATCCCCAGCAGAGCTCACCATCTAATGTCCTGCACATCAGAGGACTTGCAGGAAGATGGTGATTTGTTGGGGTGACAAGATCCCCCCCCCTATCCAGTCCACAGAGAGTGCTGGGACCCCCTTCTGTCATAATAAGAAGACATTATTACCTCCTCCTCACTGGGCGCACACTCTCCAGCCTCACACCCCTCCAGGAAGATTCTCCCCCTACTTCAGATTCTCTTCTGGACTACAACAAAATGGCTGCCGCTTCTCGCTCACCGAAAACAACATTCTTACATCTTTCTGATTATACCTCAAAATGAGCTTTTAGTAAGGCTATCAGAGAATGAAGCCACTTGTCTTTTAATAAAAGTCCATTCAAAGTTATAATTAAGACGCTATGTAATATGCTTAAAACTGTCCTAAAGTGTAGGAAGGTGGGCAGCCATTTTGTTGTAGCCCGGAGGAGCACAGCATAGATAAGAATTATCCTGAAGGGGGTGTGAGTCTGGAGAGTGTGTGTCCAGTGAGGAGGAAATAATGTCTTATTATTATGAGAAGAGGAAGAGAATGGTTCACCAATACACTGAGGCAATGACCTGCATTGAAGTGGGCCACAGCGGGTGGTAGTGCGTTGCTGTGCACCGCATTAGAATAATGCTTATGTGCAATTTTAAAGGAGAACTATGAGGTGAGTGATTTTCACTCACCTCATAGTTCTAGCCGACCTGTGACAATGAAACAGGTCACAGGTAGGCTCAGTAGATCGGGAGGTGAGCGAACACATACCGGCGTTCACTCACCTCTCGATCCTGTCACGGCTCTCTGCCGTGATAGGGGAGGGGCTGGATTCCTCCCTCCCCGCTCCGATCCGCCAGCGCTGACTGGCAGAATGGACGGGGGAGGTGATGTGATGTAAGGCTTGGATGCAGCTGCTCGGCCATGGAAACCCATTCCATGAAGCTCTCTACGCACTGTTGTTGTGCCAATCTGAAGGCCACACCAAGTTTGGAGGTCTGTAGCTATTTACTCCGCAGACAGTTGGCGACTTCTGCGCACTGTGCGCTTCAGCATGCGCTGACCACGCTCTGTCATTTTACGTGGCCTACCACTTCGTGGCTGAGTTGCTGTTGTTCCCGGTTGCTTCCACTTTGTTATAATCCCAGTAACAGGTGACCGCGGAATATTTAGTAGCCAGGAAATGTCATGGATGGACTTATTGCACAGGTGACAACCTATCACGGTACCACGCTTGGAGTCACTGAGCTCCTGAGAGCGACACATTCTTTCACAGATGTTTGTAGAAGCGTCTGCATGCTGAGGTGCGTGATTTTATACACCTGGGGCCATGGAGGGGATGGGAACACCTGAATCACATGATTTGGAGGGGGAGGGGCCCTATACGTTTGGTAATATAGCGTATGTGCTTCTGTGTCTCCATTCCAGACGTGTTGGAGACGCCGTTACCCACGCCAGGAATTCTGTACATTTTCAATAAACGTTTCGATCTCTCAAATCAGCTTGGGGGCGCGCGGCAATCGCTGCCTGCATTGCGCAGGACCGCGCGATCCCGGACCGAGGAGGTCCTCACCGGGCCTAAAGCAGAACTCTGGGAACTTTTGTTTCTAATGAACCCTTGTGGTGGGGCTACCCCTGCACTGCAAAGGGTTAACTGCTCGTTTTGGTCTAGGGAGGGAAGTTGTACCCATCCACCGGTCCCTGGAGCCTCCCCGGTCTAAGGTCCCCGAGTCATCACACTCTATACACAGTGTATAGGACATGAGGACACGAGGATCATTCCATCACTGCAGAGGAGAAGGAGGCAGGCAGAAGAAAGCGTTGTCACAGCCGGGCGCCACTGAGGATCGGGTGGGCGGGCATCGCTTTTCCTCCCTAGACAAAAACGAGCATTTAACCCTTTGCACGCAGACTTTCACATAACACTGGCGTCGCACTTCTGTCTCATTGGATTCAACTTGAAGAATGTGTGAATCCCGGGTGAAAGTCGTGTTGATCCTGTGTGACAAAAGGTTTAAAACATGTCTTTATTTGATTTGAATTTGGTGTATTTTTTATAATAATGACACAAAACCGAAGAAAGACGAATGGAAATATAAACATTTTGTTTTTTAATTCAGAACCTAGCTGACCAGGGAGGGGGAGGAGCTCATTAGGGCTACTTAGTGACAACAAGAGACTACATAGAAAACAAGGTTTATTATATATATATATAAACTTTATTCTGAAGTCACCGTGGTCCTAACTTACAAAAAGTGAAAGTAGTGATGACAAGTAGGGATGCGCCGATACCGGTTGTACGAGTATTGATATTTATATTTCGGTTCTTGCCGATACCGAGTACCGGAACTTCCGCCAGCATGGAGCCGGCTTCCCGGGCAATCAGGAAGCTGGGTGGCATATCATTACCTGCCGCCCGGCTTCTTGATTGCCCGGGAAGC